TTTCAGTTAGGATTGCTTTCGCCTTTTATTTCTTGGTTTTTTTTTTAGAGAGAAGACAAAGGCCGCCTTGATCGCTCTGGATGAGAAAATATTTGTAGAAAGGCGGATGAGTAGTTTGAGTGTTACAACCAACGGGGATACAAATGTAAAAACAAAGCCAGAATTCTATGTCAGTTTCGAGGACATTCAAGTTAGTGGAACAATTGATTTGTTTAATCTTTCTGTATGAGAATTATTATTATTATTACTGTTGTTACCACCATTATCATAAGTATTACTGTTATCATTTTGAGGATGAAAATGCTGGGTCAATTGTGAAAACTAAAAGCCAAAAGCGGAAGAAGCATGGGTGGAGTGCGACAGTTTCAGCCGTGGATAAGGATGTTGTTACTCGAGCCTGGCTCAAGAAAAATGCAGAAGTTTGTGTTATGATTACTGCCTTTGTTGTATTATGCCCGAGACCACAAGGTTTTAGGCTTGGAATAAGCCTCCTGTTGGTATCACGTGGCTGACCACTGGTTGCTCGACGTCGGCAGTGACAGCAAGTGAGGCAGAACGTAGCGCAGCCGATGCTGAAGCTGCAGCAGATGGTCGATTTGCCTTCAAACGACGTCGTGGTTGTATTTATCGTGCAAGCCTACCGGTACCAACACTGTCGAGTGATGCACAAATAAATGGATTTGGTTCGTATTAGATGGTTTCAATGCTACTTTGCTTCGTGGTGGCTTTGTTAGAATTTTTGGGATTCACATGCTGTATGTGTGGTTTACAGACGGCACCCTAACTTCATTTGTTAATTCTTCAAATAATGACTCTCAAGAAAGGAAGACTGCAAATGGGACTTCAGTTACCTTCCGTGATCTAACGAGGCAGCTTTATCGCACTCTTCTTCCATCTACAGCTGCTAAGGGTGTTCGAAGGTGCATAGGGTTTGCTAGAAGAAGAGTTGGTCGTGGAGGGAGGTTTGTTTCTTTCTTTACTTTATTGAACTGTTTTGTGTACTTTCATACGTATGTTTTCCGCTCTGCTAGACATTGTAAAATAAATTTCTTTTAAAGGATTATTTTTGACCGTTTTTTGGATTCGCCGCCATCCACGTCGCAGTGTGCATCTGATGAATTCCCATATATATTTGATTCATCAAGGTAGTTCTATAAACGGACTCGAGAACGTTTTACCCTACAGTATTTTGGTATGGTTTCAATACTTTGTGCTTTTGTTACAGGACTTACCAACCGAGGATGGAACAGGATGCTATTGATTCTGATTCTTCTTTTGAATCTGAAGATGATCTTGAAAGGGAAAGGCGAGCTGAGATGGAGTATGCAGAACGTGAAGAAATATATCGAAAACGGATTTATGAGGATTCTGGAACGGATGCAATCTCTCTTCCAATCGGGTTTGATGTAAGTCTCGACCTCTCAATTTTTAATGATGTGTTTTCGATTGGGTGTTGTAAAAATTGCTAATAAAAGCGTAAGAATTTATCCACTTTTAGAGTCCCAGCAATGAAGCAAACATTTGTTTGTCAGACTCGAGTCGTGGAGCATATACGATTGCTAACAACCATGGCCCTCCTGCGGGATATATTTCTCAAAAGAGTCGTTCAAGTATTACCCCTACAGCCAGTAATTCGAGGTATCTGTCACTTCTCATTTTTATTTCTCAAAGCATTTTTCTCACGTTGGTTTTATCATTGGAAATAATTAGGCCTACTAACAGTGTGCCACTGGATATTGGCGTAGCAAATTATAATTCCTATCAAGCTGTGTATGCGAATCCACGGCAAACGGGTTATGCTGCTCCATTCTCCGTGAATGGAATTCCCACAACGCTTAATGGAAAAACTATCATTTCTTCAACCCTGCCTTCAGCAAGTTCTTGCGAGAGTCGAAGTCAAGTAATATTTTGATTATTGTATAAGTTTTTCTTTGAGGGGTTATTTTAAATAAGAGTTCCCTTACTGCTTAAGGAAAGGCGGGTATTGGACGGCCACGCTAGGTTTGCCTCGTCCGTTACACCATTAGTTTCATCGCAGCAAACATGTGATGAACCACGTCCTAGCTACTATTCACGGTTACCTCAATCAGCAGCGCCTAGTAGAATGGAAGAATCAGCAAATCAGACGTCTGCTGATGGAGGGGGGACGACGTCGCTGTCTTACAAACAGCATCATGCTTCTGATCAACGGTTACCAGTATCCTCTCGGTTACAGCAACGACGGAATAATGATAGTTTCCGGGTGTGTTTTTGAATAGATTTTGT